CCAGCTGCTGCCCCCCCTCCCTGCACAGCACGGGCCTGGCTCACTGTGGGGTCTGCAGCTTCCTCCACTCCCTCGGGTCCCCAGGCAGCTCAGCCAGAACGGTGGGGGGTGGGGCGTGGGCAGGGCCCCCAGACTCCGCCCCAGACACCCCCTCAACCTCACCCATGGGGACATGCAGCATGAGTGTGGCCTGACACACGCTACTGTCTGTGCCCTGTTCCCGTGCAAAAGAGGCCGTGCCTGTTCTCCCCATGGGTGTTTCTGTGCTCATATATGTGGGTGGGGGAAACAGCAGAAGGGCTGGCCTTGGGGTGCAGCCGCTTGCGGCGCCGGCATCCCCTATAGATGCAGTGCAGGTGCTGGCTGCTCCACTTCTCACCCAGCTCCCTGCTAATGCGCCTGGGAAGGCAGCAGATGGGCCAAGTGCTTGTGCCCCTGCCACTGTGTGGGAGACCCAGAAGAGGCTCCTGGCTTCAGACTGGCCCAGCTCCGGCCATTGTGGCCATTTGGGGAGTGAACCAGCAGATGGAAGACATCTCTTTCTCTCTCCCCATCCCTCTCTCTCCCTCTCCCTCCCTTCCCCCTTCTCTCTAACTCTTCTTTTCAAATAAGTAAATCTTTAAAAATAATAATAATAATAACAAACATCTCCAGGGGCCACCCTCCGAGGTGGCCGCTGAATGCTTAGTTCTTTTGTGGCCGTGAACACGGCAAATGCACAGGGCAGCGGTGGGAGTGGAGCGCCGGGCGAGGCAGCAGGCGGAGTCACGCCGGTTACTCCCGTGCGTCTCGGGCTCAGCCGTGCTGTGCCAGGCCGGTTGGTCTTTCCCTTGCTGATTGGCACGTCCTCGTTACAGATCCCAGACACCCACGGAGATGTTATTCGTATCCACAGCGTGGATTTTCCCTTTTATATTTTTTCTTGTGGATCCTTCAGTGAGCAGAATTTTTGAGTTTTATGAAGTCCAGTTTGTTTTTTATTGCTGGCGCTTTGTGTGTCCTGCTCAAGGAACTTCTGCTCTCCCGGCGTTAGAGGTGTCGTCCTGGGTTTCCTCGCAGACGCCGTGCACTGCCGGTGGTGCTGGTCAGGTCTGTCCCCCTCGTACATCTCACGTGGCGTTCTCGGCTCGCTGGGACGTCGGAATCATTTTTCCACGCGGCTGCCAGTCGCTTTGCGAGTCTTTCCTTGGCCCCCGGCGTCGTGTTGGTGCCTGGCGGAGAGTCCGAGCGTCTCTGGGCCCTGCTCTGCCCGTCTGCGTCCCGTCTCAGACGTGGACTGCGCTGTGTTCCGGCAGCTGCTGAGTCCCATTTCCTATTAGTAAGTTGTGCCTCCTGTGGCCGCCGATGCCATGTGCTCTTCATAGCCTCTGCAGTTCCCTGATGAGATTTACCAGGGATTTACCAATTCTGTTGATTTCTCAAAGATCCCTTTTGGATCCCCTGTGTGGACTTCCCTGCTGTCCCTGTGACCTTGCACCAGCCGTCCGGTCCCCCAGCGCCCCTGTACGGATTTGTGGGGTGGGGTGATGTGTGCAGACACTCGCTGCTCGGAGGGTCCCTGAGTCCGTGTCCCTCCCGCCTGTGGCGAATGTTAGCATTCAGATTTGCAGGACGACGGTTCTGCGTCAACCCCAGAAAGAAATCCCAACTTTTTTTTAATGCACATTTCTGTTTTCTGAGTTTTTTTTTTTTAAAGATTTCTTTATTTGAAAGAGTTACACAGAGAGAGGGAGATACAAAGAAAGATCTTTCAGCCACTGATTCACTCCCCAAATGCCTACAACGGCCACGGCTGGGCCAGGCTGAAGCCAAGAACCAGGAGCTTCATCCGGGCCTCCCATCTGGGTGACAGGGACCCATCTGCTGCTTTCTCAGGACTTAACAGGGTGCTGGATAGAAAGTGGAGCAGCCAGGACTTGAACCAGCACCCATGTGGGTGCCAGCAGTGCAGATGGTAGCTGAACCCACTGCACCACGGAGCCAGCCCGACAACAGTATTTTAAATGATGCTGTCTTCTCTAGTTCTTAAAGGAACCGAGGCCAGAGAGTGCAGGCCGTTCTCTGAGGTGTGATGCCCGCTGCCGGCCTGGGGAGTGGACGCCCAGCGCCCACCTGCCCACACCCTGCTCCTGCCGCCGTGTCGACTGTGCCATCAGGGCCTTTGCCATCAGGGCCTTTGCACACACAGTTCCCTCTGCCTGGAAAGCTCCCCGACGCCACGCTGCCTCACCGGTTCCTTGTCAGTCTGCGGAGCAGCAGCGCGGACGGCGGGGAGACAGCGCTCCTGGCCTCAGACCCCTCTGTCTCCGCCGCCCGCCACGTGGGCAGGGAGAGCACCGAGCACTCCCGCCTCTGTCGCTCACCGCAGTCGCCCTGGAGTCCTGCGGTGAGAACCACGCAGACTGCTTGTGCTTCTGTATGGGAAGACGACTCCAGGTTGTAAACTGTGTACAGAGTCAAGCTGATTCTAAAATGGTGTGGAAGAGTTAGCGCCCAAAAGGGCTGTGAAAGTTCCAGAAGTCTGAGAGAAGATTGGCCATTCCAGGAATAAGAATGTGTTTTTAAAAATACAGGAATTGGGGCTGGCGCTGTGGCTTAGCAGGTAAAGCTGCTGCCTACAGTGCCGGCATCCCATATGGGCGCTGGTTCGAGTCCCGGCTGCTCCACTTCCAATCCAGCTCTCTCTTCTATGGCCTGGGAAAGCAGTGGAAGATGGCACAAGTGCTTGGGTCCCTGTACCCATGTGGGAGACCTGGAAGAAGCTCCTGGCTCCTGGCTTTGTATCAGCACAGCTCCGGCCATTGTGGCCAACTGGGGAGTGAACCATCAGATGGAAGATCTCTCTCTCTCTCTCTGCCTCTCCTTCTCTCTCTGTGTAACTCTGACTTTCAGATAAATAAATAAATCTTTAAAAAAACTACAGGAAGTAATGCTGGGTGTTTGGGTTCATATGCCCAAGGAGGTCACAGATATTTTAAATCAGGGGAAATGATGCTCTGGCTTTTCAATATATGATTTAGGATAATTTGCTCCCTGTTAAGAAAAAAAATTCCTCCTATCAAACCTGAAGCTAACCCTGGTGATTTCAAAGAACTAAAGGTTAAAGGTGTAAAAACGCTCCAGGATCTATGAGAAACTTAAGGGGTTTTGTTAGGAAGCTGAGTCACGGAGCTGGGGGTGACGCGGACCGCTGGGGTCGGGGGGAGGGAGAGAGGCCTGTGGCAAAGCCGCTGCCCCGGAGAAGACGCCGGCCACAAGCAGCGAAGGGACCGTCACAGCTGCCGGGAGCTCTTACAGAGCAAGAGGAGGAAGACAGACAGCGCACAGGACGGCGTGCAGAGGGTGCCCGCGGGCGGTCACAGAGGCGCGGGCGGTCACAGAGGCGCGGGCGGTCACAGAGGCGCGCACGGCCGGCGACCGAGAGATTCGCAGAGCCTGACGTGTGCAGTGGAGGCGAAGGCAGGGGGCGGCGGCGCCACCCACCCGATCAGCGCGGCCTCCCCGGGGCGTCGGGTCCCACACAGCAGCTGAGGCGGCCTGCTGCTCTCCAGCACCTGCAGAGGTGCCTGGGACGTGCTCAGTGCACCCGCACTTCCCCCGGAGCTGTGCTGAAGCTTCGGAGCACCACTCCTCTGCTTTGTGTCCAGTCCAGGGGCCGCCAGCTTGTGCGGCCTCCCCCGTCCACCTCCCCACGTCCTCATCTGCGGGCCTCAGACTCTGTCCCCCTCGCCCGACCCTGGCAGCCACAGCCCTGCTGTCTGCCTTGAGAGTCTGTCATGGTGGGCCACTCGGCTTTGTCTCCTGTGTAGGTCACGTGCAGTCTACACACACTACAGCTGTGCCTCGGCAGCGCGCCTGGCTGGGGTCCCACGGCAGGGCTCTCGCCTTGTGCACAGAGCTCCAGGCACGAGGCTGAACGCCGCCTTTGCATGAAGCAGCAGGCAGGTGCAGAGGAGGCCCCGCGTTTCGCGACGTGCGCAGAGCGGGGTCTCCGGAGCGCCACCCTCCCCGCCCCGTGCGACCTCAGTCTGACTGTTGGCACCGCTGTTTTGTCTTTGCCTGTTTCTGAGCCGTCTACGGTGGAGCTCCCGCCAGGTCCTCCCTGTGAATTCTGTGTGCGTGCGTATAGTGATGGCACACTTAGCCTCACTGTCGGGGGGAGTCACGTTGGGTGACTATGCCACAATTTTGTGTGTGCATTTTCTAGTGATGGAAGTGGGAGTTTTAAAAACAGAGCTGCAGGGGCTGGCGCTGTGGCGCAGCAGGTTTAAAGCCCCAGCATCACACACGAGTGCTGGTTCAAGTCCTGGCTGTTCCAGTTCCAATCCAGCTCCCTGCTGTGGCCTGAGAAAGCAATGGAAGACGGTCCAAGACATTGGACCCCTGCACCCACGTGGGAGACCCGGAAGAGGCTCCTGGCTCCCAGTGTCGGATCGGCTCCAGCAGGCGCAGTTGTCTGGGGAGGGAATCGGCGGATGGAAGGCCTCTCTCCCTTTCTCACTCACTCTGTCTCTACCTGTCTCTATAACTCTTTCAAATAAGTAAAATAAATCTTAAAATAAACAGGCATTACCTTTGCTGTCCATGTATTTGGCGCCCGTGGGCGCCCATTGCTGTTGGCCACACGCCAGCCGGGGCACCTCTGTCTCAGGGATTTCTGCTGTGGCTGAACCAGCTGACGCCTCTGCCAGCCGTGTGGGAGTCCTGGCCGACCCACACCTTCCCCAGGGCGTGGGGTCGCTTGTGCTTCTCCCGTTAGCCATTCCCGCATAGCGCTATTCCCATCCGGGAATGTGGCCACCCCTCTAATTATTTAGGTCTTTGGAAGTTTTTTCTCAACTATGTTTGGTGGTTTATTTCAGTTAATCAGTCGTGAATAACTTTATTCAGGTTATTGATTTTTGATATCGTGCTACCATTGTACATGGTATTTCCTTGTACGTGTTATCATATAAATGCTCACGTTCTCCTTATTTGTGACCTAAGCACTGTTTTCCTAGCAGAGAATATGAAAACTTCCAACGAGGGACTGTTTCGACGGCTGCACTGTCGCCTGTGACGGGTCATCATTCACACCACGGGAAGGAGGGAGCTGGCACCGGGCGCTGGGGGTTGCAGGCTGAGAACCGGCTGGGGTTAACCATGCAGGCCCGTCCTGCGTCCTGCGTGTGAAGTCTTCCCGGCCGACAGCACAGGTACCGTGCATCGCCTGGGAGGGAGCAGGTTCAGGCGAGCTGAGATGAGGATTAACCTTCCCCCCAGCACGGCTTCATGGCTTCATTTTTTACAATAATCCTGGATTAAAGGAAGTAAGAAAACAGCAGACGACTCGTCTGTAATGCCGTTCTTCTGGTTCGGGGCTTGGCCCTCAGCGGGGCCTCCACACGTAGGGCGGGGCTGACGATGGAACCCCCGTGGTCCCCATGCAGCCGGGCGGCAGTGAGGCAGGAGACTTGTCCACATCCTTTCCTTTCTTGGAGAGGTGTGCACGAGTACTTCAGAAAAGTTCAAGGAAAATAGGAAATCAAAAGGAAAATTTAGTTGCACACCTGGGTTCAACCCCAAGTCCAGCCTCCTGCTGATGTGGGCCGTGGGAGGGCACAGTGGTGGTTCCTGCAAGCCACGTGGGAGACCGGAACTGGGCTCCTGGCTCCCACTCCTGTCTTTGGGGGCAATTAGGGAAAGAGTCAGCAGATCTGTGTCTGGGTGTGTGTGTGTGTGTGTGTGTGTGTGTGTGTGTCTCACTCTGAAAAAAAAAAAGAAGAAAAAACTTTAAAAAAGGGTTAAGTTTGGTACAAAAGAATTTAGGAAGCCAGGCGCAGCTTTTTCCAATGCACATTTTCCTTGAACTTTTTGAAGTCCTCTTGTATATTATAAACTAATAAAAGCTGTACCATAGAGCAAACCCATACTGGATTATAAAAACCTGGAGTCTTTTTTTTTTTTTTTTTTTTTTTTGACAGACAGAGAGGACAGTGAGAGAGAGACAGAGAGAAAGGTCTTCCTTTGACATTGGTTCACCCTCCAATGGCCACCGCGGCCGGTGCCCCGCAGCCCCGTGCACCGCGCTGATCCTAAGTCAGGAGCCAGGTGCTTCTCCTGGTCTCCCATGGGGTGCAGGGCCCAAGCACTTGGGCCATCCTCTACTGCACTCCCTGGCCACAGCAGAGAGCTGGCCTGGAAGAGGGGCAACCAGGACAGAATCCGGCGCCCCAACCAGGACTAGAACCCGGTGTGCCGGCGCCACAGGCGGAGGATTAGCCTATTGAGCCGCGGCGCCGGCCAAACCCAGATTCTTAACAGGCCGACACAGGTGCTGGTGAACCACGTGTCCTAATCCCAGCAGCAGGTGCCTTGGGCCAGGGCCCTTGGGCTCCCCTGTGCCCTGGACTCTGGGTGCGATTACAGGTGCTGTGGACTCTTCCCTCACCTGTCTTCAAATGCACAAAACAAGGCGTGGAGGATCACACGGAAAATTAATTCTGCCTGAAAATATCTTATACTTTATTATGAATTTATTGGATTGTTTTATTATTTAATGCTCTATTATGAACATGTTATATAACAAGATCCAGAACAGGTCTGCTAATTATCAGGCATGAGAACCAAGCTGGCAAGCTGCCTGCAGCCCCTCCCTGGCACTGCCAACGTGACCGTGGCCTTGGCAAGGAAGGAGATGCTGCGGGGGTAGCAGCCAGTTAGGAAGGGTGCGACCGTGTTTCCCGGTCAGGTTCTCAGGCCCTGGGCGAAGAGCCCGGCCTTGGTTGAAGACTTGGGTTGCACAGGTGTGGCGCTCGGCTGCAGCTGCAACCCCAGCTCACCGGCCTGTCCCCAGGAGGCTGGCGTTCCCGCGTGGAGAAGGCACAGGTGTTGACTTGGTAAAACCTGTACCACATTACATGGGTAAGTGCATGCTGGCATGGGTGCCGATCCCAGGTAGGCAGGGACGTATCTCTGGGAAGCGGAAGGTCTGAGCTGGGGACCACAGCCCTGCACAGGAGGGAGTTCCAGAGAGAGTAAGAGAGGGGCAAGATGGCAGGAGCAGAGGCAGCCAGCCAGGGAGGGAGGCGTGGGCTGGGTGTCGTACGTGACCGGCCACTGGCAGGGCCCCTGGGCTGCAGTGAAATGGACCTCCGGCTGCTGTGCCCACCGAGAGCTGACTTGGGAAGAAGCCAAGAACCAGGCCCAGGGCAGCTGCTCCCTGCCCAGGAAGTCCCAGTGTGGCTCAGAGCAAGTGTGCAGTCCACCAGCATTTGTGGTTTCCAAGGTGAAGGGAGAGCAAATTTTAAGAAAATTTAAGAGCAAAATAATGTGTCTAGAATCGTAGGAATGAGTATTCTGGAATGTTCGGGACAAAATGAAAAAGCTTTTTGTAAGGGTTCATTATTCACTCGAAAGGCAGGGTTACTCCCTCCACTGGTTCACTGCCCAGTGGCTGCAAGGGCCAGGGCCGAGCTGGGCCAGAGCCAGGAGCTTCACCCAGGTCTCCCACATGGGTGGCGGGGACCCTGGGTCATCTGCTGCTGCTTCCCCAGGTGCACTAGCAGGGAGCGGCTGTCCGACCACGGTCTGCACCCCATGGGCCTGGGCATGGCACTGCCTGGGGGGCTGCCAAGACACCTTCTTCCCCTGCTGAGGTGTGGATGGCACCAGCCCTCCCGAGAAGCCAGGGAAGGGCTCAGGAGGCCTCGGACCCCTTCGTGCCCCCAGGGGCTCACGCTGGGTCCAGCAGCATCCGCCTGGAAAACAGTCTCCCCAGAACACCAGAAGTTCTTCAGAATGGTTCTTCTTGCAAAATAACCTTCCGTTTTTATACCTTGATAAAACCACAGGACTGTTTTACAACAGCTTTAATGAGAAGTAATTCACGTGCGATTCGCCAGCTCCTGTGGAATTCAGTGCTCTGGGCAGCCGACACCTTGGCTGCTGTCACACCCACCAGTTTTGTCTCCTCCAGGAGAGACCCACGACCTCACGGTCTCCATCTCCCAGCGGACCCCAGCCCTGAGGAGCCCGCCCACTTCTTGTCTGTGGTGTTTCCCATGAGGGAGGGGCTGTGCTTCGAATTTCCAAACTCCTGCAGGCGTTGGGTTAATGGCACTCAGAACGGAAGCTGAGTCCCAAGGTCTTGGGGCAGGGGCTTTGGGAAGCATTGTCTCGGACTGGGTCAAGGTGGTGCACCGGCCAGAACCTTGGAGGCTTCATAAGCACAGAGAGAAGCCACACACACTGGCGCATGGACACACCTGCTCCCTGTCCATAGCCACCGAGGTCCACCCCCAGCCCCCAGGACTGCCAGCACGAAGGCCATTGCCAGACGAGACCCCTAGACCGCATACTTCCAGAACCTGAGTCAAAACAACCCACTTCTCATTTTGGACTCAGCCTGTGTTGCGTATTCTGTCCCACCCACGGAACCCTGGCTGGTACCTGGGGTCCTGCCACGCACGGTTCTGTGCGGTTTCTTTCACAGCCCTCCTTGGTCTCTCGTGTTTGGGCGGTTTAGACATTTCAGCTGTTACAAGTGATGAGTTGTTGTCTGGACGTGCCTCCTCCACTTCTCCAGGATTGGGAACTCTGGGTCCTGTGTTTGAGCATTGGAGGGAGGGCTAGATCGTTTCCCAGTCGCGGCGGCAGCGGCGTGGGAGGGTCTCAGTCCTCCCCGTCTCCCGCGGTGCTGGTGCCCTGGCTCTGTGCCCCTGCCTGCCCTCCTGGGGGCCACGCGTGTCCCGTGGTCTGGACTGGCGTGACTGATGGTGCTGAGACTCTTCTGTGCATATTGGCAACTTGTGTACCTTCCTTGAGGAAATGTCTTCGGGCCATTTGCCCATTTTTCAATGGAGTTGTCCTTTCAGTATTTGTGAGTTCTTTACCTCTAGGTAGAAGTCCCTTATCAGAGCAGGTAGCGCCTCGTATCCGAAGTGCTCGGGACCAGAAGTGTTTTGGATTTGAGACGTTTTCAGATGTTGGGATGACCACAGGCCTTGTGCCATTTTCAACAACATCGTTATACCACAGAGCAGAGAATAAAGGGAAAAACACAGCGGGCGGGGGGGGGGGGGGCTGTGGCGACGCCGCGGGCCGTGTGTCCAGCCTGCGCACAGGCCTCTGGCTGCCCTATTCGAGAGTGTGTGTGTGCTGTGCCTGCATCCCAGCGGTCACCTGTCGCGCGAGGTGTTGTCCTGTGAGCACTTAGACGCTCGGATTTGGGATGCGTGGCCCACGTGTGGTTTGCGAGCGGCTGCTCCCGCTGTGTGGGGTGCCTTCCCCTTCCTTTCTCGGTGATGTCTGCAGCTTTGAGTTGATGAGGTCCAGTTCTCCTCCTCTTCCTTTGTGGCTTGGGCTCTGGTGTCACACGCCCGTCGTGTTGGGTAAAATTGCCCCATTTCTGTGTATTTCTTGCCAAACCCTAGGTTGTGATGAGATACCTGAGACACCTGTGTGTTGCCATAAGAGCTTTATGGTTTCTTACAGCCAGGTCTCTAACCCGACTTGGGGTTAATTTTGGCACGAGCAGATATCCAGTTTCGTTTGTGGCCATCCATTGTCCCCGCATCTGTTGTCAAGGAGACGACTGTGTGCCCATGCAATGGCCGTGGCACCCTTGCTGAAGGCCAGCCGACCGTGGACACCCAAGTGTGTTTCTGGACCCTGATTTACCCCGCTGACCTGCCTGAGGCCCACCAGCTCCCACAGCGGCAGGCGGCTCCACCTGCCTGGAGCCGGTTTCATCGTTTGCCTGGCTGGAGTGGCACACCTGTCTTGGTGACCGTGGCTTTGTAGTAAGCGTTGAATCACGAAGCCGAGTTGTCTGAGGCTGTTCGCCTTTTCTGAGACTGTCGTAGTAACTCTGAGTCCCACGAAATCCCATCCGAACTCAGCTCACCAGTTCCGGCAAAGAAGCCCACTGCGACCCTGCGAGGGCGGCCTGGGACCTGCGGGCTGGTCTGGCCGTCACCTACCAACTTACCAGCCGTGGTGCCCACCAGCTTAGTCCATCTTTAAATTCTTTCAATAATCAAACCACAGGAATGCCTCAGAGCAGCCATCCCCCGAGGTCGCTGGTCCTTTGGCCACATCCTGCTGGCCCGGGCGGGGCCCCCACTCCGTCCACAGCGTGGATGTCACCCAAGAGGGCAGGCCTGCAGCAGCAAGGGCTCGGCTGTGGGCCACGTTCTTCCCTCGGCGGCCCTGC